ATTTTATTGTAGTATTTTTGGCAAAATGTTCCTGGAGAAGATGGCTCAGTACTATAAGTGCGACCCTGGAAAGTGCAAGGGCCCGACCTCAAAACCCAGTTCCAAAAAAAAAAAAAAAAAAAAAGTTTCTATATTGTACAAGGATACAACAAACAGAAACATATACCAAGTCTTACTTTGTGAATAAGATTTTCCTTATATAGTAGAAGCGTTTCATTGCTTTATTGTAACTGCAAGTAAGTGCCTTTAGCCACAGGAAATTCAGATAGGACAAAAATTTGCTTACAAACCAAACCACTATCCCTTGTCCTTTTTGCCCTCTTGCCTACTTTAGCGGAACAGTCCTCCGGGTCATTCAGTGAGCTCTGCCTGGAAGGTCACGTGGGGGTCTTTGCACAACCCTAGCTTTGCATATCTCTCCACAGAACTGATTGCGTTTACTGCCGGACATTTGTCATCTGAACTCTAGCTCCTTAGGTACTCTGCAAAGGTCACTTTCTAAATCATGGCTAGTGAAACCAACTGTCATTAGAAATTATTTTTAAACATGTCAAGACATTTTCCTTAGTGAAATGCTTTTCAAGCCATAACATTTCCTCATCCAAACCTGGATAGCTGAAAAACTGAAATAGTTTTATAGAAATATACCTAAGAGTAATTAATCTTTGTAAACACTTAGTGACCTTATGAAAGCAGTATGGTTTCTTACCTTTAGCATGCTGGTGATGGAGAAGTTAAAATTTCTAAAGTAAAAGAGAATAAATCACCGCCGATTCTTTCATACAGTATGTGTATGACTGCGTGCCACTTACACAAGGGGCTAAGAACACAGACACATAAAAGGCAGCCTCTGTTTTCGGGCTCAGTGTTCAGCTAACGTGCAGAACAGCAATACTGAAAGGGGCACCGGAGTAGTTTATAAAGAGAAGTGAAAAGATCACACGGATGTCTCAGGAAAACCACCTTTGGAATGCATTGCGCATCCCCACACAGTACCCAGCCCCTAAGAGTTAGGGCCGCTCCCAAGCACAAGGTGCTCCTACGAGATCCTCCCTTCTTCAGGAGCCCGTCACGCGTGCTGCTGTCACCAAATCATTCCTGGCACAGCTGTACAGGAAGGACTGTGACGCACTTCACCATGCGCCACTGCCTACCGCGGGGCTCACCGAAGCCTCGGAAAGGAGGTGTTGCACAAATTCGCCTAAGGGCTGCCCATCATCAGTCAGCTCTCCCGGACCAGTTATCACTCCAAGTCACTGTGGGCACGTTCAAGTGAGTCCCCCACCCCCGCCGGGGTCTATCCAGATTTCTGCCTTCACGTGAGGGATTCTTAGAGACTCACGTTTATGCAGCTCTTCGATTTACAAAGTCTCAGGATCTCGTCAGAACCGCATGAGGATGGTCACATGGGAGAATCAGGGCAAATGCATAACACACTTACAGTACAGGTGAAAGTAGCTGAGGGAACCGTACAGCAGTTACAGGACATATCTAATGGGTACGGAACATCGCTCCTGAGTAGACCAACCCAGGTGCGTGACATCAAACTTGCAGTCAGTCTTGCACCACTGCAATGAACACAATCAATGTCAAAAGATAGCATGTAACACGGACAACAGGTGAGATCACAGGTGTTGTTTAAACGCTTCTTCAGGTTGAAGCACAATTCTTACAATTATACCGATTTTAATTGTTGAACTGAATGTCCTCAACTTTCATATAAAAGAAATTGAATTTCAAAGAGACTGAAGGCTGCCAACAGTTAACGTAAAAACAACTGAAGGGTAAGAACTACAATTCTCTTGATTTCTAGCCCAGTTCTCACTGGAAATGTCTCAAAAGCAACAAATTAAAAACATTTGAAGGTAACAAGACTGACTTCTTTTGTTGCTATTCTGGAGGCAGTACATAAATATAGGAAAACAGACCTAATGAAAATTACCCTATAGAAGGACTGTTTTCGAAGACCCAAATACGTACAAAATTATGATTTAAAACAAGAGCCAAACCATGTCTTTTAAAATTATTTTGTAAAAGTGAAATTGTAACCAGAGTTTTAAGTTAATTATATTTGATAACAATATCACTGCCTCAAAAAGTGTCCATAATAATGTTAATAAAGCAAACATGTTTTCCCTCGTGCCCCCTACTTTTTCCGTTCATGTACGAGGACCTCCCACTGTGTGCAAGAAATTTTGCTGGAGACAGTGGAGAACTACAAGATGGACCATCCATCATTCAGTGAAGGCGATGCTATCTGGGATATTTAATTCCAGATAATATTTAACCTGCCCTTACGGATAAACAGATTATACTGGTCCAGGCAAGAAAAGAATAGCAGTTTAAGTAGAGTATTAGGAGCATCTGTAGCAAAGCAGAAATTTCCTAGGATGCACGGGGAATGACACTACTCTCCTAGCACAATGCAGAGTGCCCTGAGGGTTTGAGTGGGCCGCGCAGACCAATAGCAAAGGGTCTTTTAAGACCACAGCACTGATGCTTGAGAGTCAGGAACCTGTGACTTAAATTAATGAGGAACTGGAACCCAAAATAATCCCGAATAAAAGTGTACTAAGCCGAAACCTGGGAGAAAACATCACATCATTTAGCAATGAGCTTGAGTTACCAAAAAAAAAAAAAAAAAAAGCCCTCTAAACTGTTGCAGATGTTCCGGATATGATGGTAATTCTGTGGAAAATGCTGTATGTTGAATCACTGGAGCATATTGATATTTAGAGACATCCCCGAAAGGTCTGCCTTACAGCAACAACAAAAAACCTGAAGTTAATACGGGTGTTTATACAGATTTCAAATGTAGAAATAAACATATGTATGTTTTTCTAAAATAAAATGTTAGGTCATTCTTAAAGATGGAATAGGCAGGGCAGGAGGAAAACTCAACTGAAGAGGCACAAAAATCAGGGAAGGGACTAGTGCCTCTCACATCTCCTGAACTCATAGCTAAACTAGTTATCCAGGAAAAGTGACAGCTGAAAGGGAGTGGCCATGAATTCCAGCACATGAGCTGCACCTGCAGAGCTGGCGACAAGCACTTATGAAACAGGGCAGTAGCAGCGCGGGAGATTCGGGGTTGGGCAGGCCTGAGTTGCGATGCCCGTTATGGGATCTCGTACACATTTCTTAACCGCCCCATAACTCCTTTCAGTCTGCAAAATCCGGATAACAAACATTTACTTCAAAGGCTAGGGCTAGAAAGAGAATGAGAAAAGTGCTTGCTGGGTGGTAAGTGGTAATTCTTCAATAAAAAAACCTTCTATCAACATCCTACTGTGTGCCTACCAATTTGATTCTGCTTTTTTAATCCTTGGAAGACTTTGGAGATGCATTTTGTTTAGCAAGATTACCAGGGAGCCTTTCAAAGCTCCCAGCTCTTGCTTCTCTTCCCGTTCCCCTCCCGCTTCTTCTACTCTACTAGTTAAGAATTCAAAGTTAACAAAATCCTTTTAAAATAATACCGTGTGCCTGGGGAGCCCGCTGACACCTTCAGACTTGCGTGCGATCCTGCCTGGCTTTCAAAAGCTTTTAAGTTCTCGTGGAATTGGAGAAAAAAGCAAGGAGAGTTACCCAGTAGGGCATTCAGTATGCTAAAGATAAGCAGTCAGAGGGAAAGAAAGATAAGGAGAGGAAGAGAGAGGGCGGGAAGGCCGAACTATAGATGACAGCTCTAATGTGACACACAGCCTTGGAAGGGTCCTTGTCCCTGACAATCTCTGAGGAAGCTGACACTTTGGTTCAAATTACCAAACTTGCGCCGGAGTCAGATTCCTCCCTTTTATTCCTGTCTCACAAACAAGCTCAGGCTGGTGAGCTTCACTTTAAAATTCCATGCACAAAAAAACAGGAACGATAATGAGAGGCGATGTGTGCAGGGCTACCCTATTTGCATTCCATCTTAATTTCCGAGAAAAAAAAAAATCTTTTTCTCTTCCCTGGCCTTTTAAGGAGGCAACCCCAAACTTCTCCACCCCTACTGCGCAATAAAAAATGTCATTTAAGAATATTTTTAAAAACTCGCCCTGTGCTCTTCCTGCCCGGCCAGTCCCAAGGAGGCCGCTCCCCAGAGCCTCAGCTTTCACCCCACCTCTGGCGGCGGCGAGGAAAAGGCCGACCTCCCCCTCCCGGGTGTCACGGGTCGCTGAGCCGAGGGGGCCGCGCGGCCAAGTTTGCATTCTGGGATTCCCAGGCCTCCAGGTCGGGCCACTGGGAGGTCCACGGGGGTACATGCCGCGCATAGTTTCCCTCCCCGGGATCAGCGCTTCCCATCTGGGTCGGCCGGATGCCGCGCAAACAGCGCCTCGACGCCCCAGCAGCTGGACACGGTCACAGCCGGGGCCGCACGTGCTGAAGCGACCTCGGCCGCATCCGCGCGCAGACTCCGGCAGGCCCCCGCCCGAGCGCGGACGGGAAGGCAGCCGCGGTGCGCGGCTACTTTTAGGCGAATTGTAAACCTGGACTTAAGCCGAGGCCGGACGTCCAGAGTGGCATCTAGCTAAAAATAGCATTTTTCACTCACTCCGTCGTTCTTCACAAGCAAGGGGGGGAGAGAAAGCTTGGGAAGCCCAAGCTCAGCGCTAACGTGCAGCTTTCGTCCAAAACGCTGGCCGCACCTGGGAGCTCCCCTGCAGAGCTCCGCCGCGGCTTGTGCGCCTGCGCGCGAATGGTGGCTCCGCCCTTGCGTCGGGGACGTAAGCGTGCGCGGGGGACGTAAGCGTGCGTGGGGGACGCGCCGCGCATGCGCCGTCCTTGCGCAGCTGGCTTGCTCCGTGTTGGTGGCTGGAGTCCCGGAAGGGTCCCCGATCCCCGCGGCGTCCACCGCGTCGGTTCAGCGCGCCGCGCCGGGAGTCTGAGAGCGGCCGGGGTCAGAGTAAGTGCTACCGTCGGCTGTGCGCGCCGAGCTGGAGTGTTCCCCTCCCTGCGGCGGGTGCGCCGCTCGCGTCGCGCCCCTCCCCGGCGCCGGCCGCCTCCCCGCGCGCCCGCCTCCCTGCGCGCCAGCCCCGCCCCCTCGCGGCTGAGCCCCTCCGGTCTCCCCTCGGCGGGCCGCTCGAGACCCCGACGGGGCCATGAAGCTCGTGCGGAAGGACATCGAGAAGGACAACGCGGGCCAGGTGACGCTGGTCCCCGAGGAGCCCGAGGACATGTGGCACACCTACAACCTGGTACAGGTGGGCGACAGCCTGCGCGCCTCCACCATCCGCAAGGTGCAGACCGAGTCGTCCACGGGCAGCGTGGGCAGCAACCGCGTGCGCACCACGCTCACGCTGTGCGTGGAGGCCATCGACTTCGACTCCCAGGCCTGCCAGCTGAGGGTCAAGGGCACCAACATCCAGGAGAACGAGTACGTGAAGATGGGCGCCTACCACACCATCGAGCTGGAGCCCAACCGCCAGTTCACGCTGGCCAAGAAGCAGTGGGACAGCGTGGTCCTGGAGCGCATCGAGCAGGCCTGCGACCCAGCCTGGAGCGCCGACGTGGCGGCCGTGGTCATGCAGGAGGGCCTCGCCCACGTCTGCCTGGTCACCCCCAGCATGACCCTCACGCGCGCCAAGGTGGAGGTGAACATCCCCCGCAAACGGAGGGGCAACTGCTCGCAGCACGACCGCGCCCTGGAGCGCTTCTACGAGCAGGTGGCCCAGGCCATCCAGCGCCACATCAACTTCGAGGTGGTGAAGTGCGTGCTGGTAGCCAGCCCAGGGTTCGTGCGGGAGCAGTTCTGCGACTACATGTTTCAGCAGGCGGTGAAGACGGACAACAAGGTCCTCCTGGAAAATCGGTCCAAATTCCTTCAGGTAAAGGGAGTTTTTACTCCAGGATCATTGAGAATGGTTGGAGGAATGATTGCTCTAAGCTGCGCCCTATATTTTAGCTTTGGGGAAAGTAAGAGAAGGAACAGCTGGGATTGTAGATGCGGTAACAACAGGAAAATGGCGTGTTTGTAGCGCTTTCATGTAGTGAACTGGCGAAGTCCTTAAATGTGTTAAGTCTTGTTCAGGTTTTTGGCCTGAAGTCGTTGTGGGCTGCTTTGTGGATGCTCTCAGAGATTGTTTTGTCTTTTATAATTGTGATTCTAGGTGCACGCCTCCTCTGGACACAAGTACTCCCTGAAGGAGGCCCTGTGTGACCCTGCTGTAGCTAGCCGTCTTTCAGACACTAAAGCTGCCGGGGAAGTGAAAGCCTTAGATGACTTCTATAAAATGTTACAGCACGAACCTGACCGGGCCTTCTATGGACTCAAGCAGGTGGAGAAGGCCAACGAAGCCATGGCCATCGACACATTGCTCATCAGCGACGAGCTCTTCAGGCACCAGGACGTGGCCACGCGGAGCCGCTATGTGAGGCTGGTGGACAGTGTGAAGGAGAATGCAGGCACGGTCAGGATTTTCTCCAGTCTCCACGTATCTGGGGAGCAGCTCAGCCAGTTGACAGGAGTGGCTGCCATTCTCCGCTTCCCTGTCCCTGACCTTTCTGACCAAGAGGATGATTCTAGTTCTGAAGAGGATTAGGGCTCGATGCTGGAGACCACCTGCGTGTGACTTCCTCACTGTGACAAGCTCAAGAGTGGCAGTTTTAGGTGCCTGCTGGGAGTGTTCATGTGTTGGTAGCACTTGACGTTTCAGGGCTTGCAGAACATGTACTCAATAAATGAAGTAATTCCCATGTGCTGCTGCTCTCTTTACTGATTAGAATAATTCTTATTTGTAGTACTTAAAATTTTGTGTGTTTAATAAAAATACTTAGGCTTGGGTTGGGTCATTAGATCCCATATTTTGTGTTTTGAGGCGGTATTCCTAAGAAAAAAACTTATTCTCACATTTTCCCAAGTTTATATTATTTATAAGTGTTCTTCCATTTCATGTAACTAACCCTTTTCTCCTTCCATGTACGCTACCAGGGTTTTTTTTTTTTTTTTTAATGTTTTTTAACTTACGTATTTGGTACAGGGTCCCACTACCCAGCTCAGACTCATAGTGATCCTCCTGTTTTCAGCCTCCCCAGCACTGGGATTGCGGGTGTGTGTCCCACACCAGGACTCAATCGCCCAGACCCAATCGCTGGCTCGGCATACCCCCAAGGTGGCCGGCGCAGCATGCAGATGAACCCTGGTCCCTGCGCTTGCCAAAGCAGGGCCTTTAGTCCACTGAGCTGTCTCGCTCGCTCCAGTTTTTATCTCAGCTTTTAATGTATTTTCTGTTTTAAATGATAATCAGTAAGCTTCAAGATCAGTTTAGTGTTTTTCTCTTTAATTTTTGTCTGATACAGGGTCTCGCCACGCAGACTTACGGTGACTCCTGCCTCAGCCTCCCAGTTGCTGGTGTGCACAACCATGCCCAGTTCTGGGGCCAGCACAGCGCACATTTGGAGCTGGCAAGGCATGCAGTACTGGGGACTGAACTCGGGACCTTGTACTTACTAGCCAGGCAGGCGCTTATGCTGCTGAGTTATCTCCCTAGCCCTAGTGTTTTTCTTAAAGGATTTGTTAAACTAGACATGTTAAAATATTGTTTTTTCTTCAAACCGTATTTGCTTTAGAGAACTGCTTTATTTTGAAATAGTAGAGCTTTAATTTACTAGACATTCTCAAGATAATCGCTGAGGCCTCTTTAAAGTGAGCTAAAGGATGGGGCTTGTTTTGTACGTGGCTAATTAGTGGCAAAGCTGGAAGCAGTCTGCAGTCTGAATTTTCAGTTTGCATTGAAACGGTGCCATACTGTTTTTAAAAATGCATTTATTTTGGCTTGTTCAAGTAATGCTTAATTTTGTTTTACGTTTGTAGTCTGAGCTTTCACGTTCTGTGCTATTTTAGTGTAAGAGTATTCAAAAAAAGTTGTTATATAATAGTTATACTCCAGTATTCTTTTGGTTTGTTTTAGTTTTCCAAGACAAGGTCTCCACGTGCAGTTCAGGCTTGTGTTAAAACGCCCCCTCCGTATCCCACGCTAGCCTCAGCTTCGCCGTGATCCTCCTGGCTCAGCCTCCCCACTGTCGGTATTACAGGTGTGCACCATCACACCTACCTTGTAAATGTTTCTGTTCATTGGTTTTGGGGATGGAATTGTATCTTGGCCTTTTACAAACCTCAGTTTATCAACATAGGGGTCTTAGTGTGACATTAATTTGTAAGTATTCAATCACTGATGTGTACCTCAAGGATACTAAGTAAACTCTTGTTTATATTTTATGTGTAGTCTTAATATAGTAGGTTTGGGATTGTTAAACTTCGTAAGTAGTCTGAACCTTTCTGATGTTGAAGGCTACACTTTAAAATCATATATTTTTCTATATCCACCTAAAACTCAGATTGTAATCCCATGAATATAGAAACCTAAATATATTAAAAGTAGTTTACTAAATAATGTAAGAACATAGACATAATAAACTTACTAAAGTTAAAATCTAATTGTAGTAAATTGTATGAATTTAATTTTTAAGCATCTATTGTCACAATCAGTACAGTAATAAAATGATTATTGTTATTATTTTGTACCAGGGATTGAACTCAGAACCTTGTGCTTGCCAGGCAGGTGCTTGTGCCACTGAACTGTCTTCCTAGCCCCTAAAATGAACTCTTAATAAATAGAACTAATACATTTTAGACCAGAGGTTCTTGAATTGGACAGCCTATTAGCTTTGCTTTGGGAGTTCTTAAACAGCATCCAAACTAAGTAATGTTTTCCTGGAAATGGTGCTTTTTGTTTATTTGCTTTGTTTTTTAACAGAT